GTCAAATCTAGTCGACCTATTAAACATCCTATTCAGAGATGGTTGTGCACTTATAAGATTCTCTTGCACATTTCTGGACACTTGTTTCAAGTAATTTTGTTTAGTAAAAGTTATCTTATTATACTGGCAGATCATTTTTGCTGATTTCAAGCTGGTTTCATTTCTTAAAACAAGCAAAATTATCTGCTAATATAGTCAGATAACTTTACTACACAAAACTACTTAAAACAAGTAAAAATGCCTAGAAATAAAGTAAATAATCTTAAATGAAGTTTATAACATTCTCAACAGGCGAAATATGATTTATTGACTAGATTTAAGATCATTTTACCTGACAAGACACCATTTTTTGCAGTGCCCATATGAGGAAAGAGATCAGATTTGCTGCTGTGTGAACAAAGCCTTAGATAAAACGTGATTAACTGTTAAGCCCTTTACTGATCTTCTATGATCCCAAAGGTATTGGAAGGAGCTCATTCACTCCAGAGAACACAGTTCCCCTGCTCCACAGCCCAATGCTGGGGTCTTTATACCCCTCTAGCCCACACTTGGCATTGGGCATGGTGACTTTAAGCTTGTGTGCAGCTGCTCCCAGAGAATCCCATTCTAAGGTGATTATAAAAGCTGAACTTGAGGAACTTTCAGACATTTTATGGCCTTAAAAGTCTATTTTAAGTCTTACAGACCTTTTAAGGAACTCTGCCTGTAATGTGAACGTAACCGAAGAGAGATGGGCTTCATGTTTGGGCGTGGAGTGCATGCTCTGGACCTCTCATGTGAAAAGGTTCTGTTTGGTTGCGGCTTCCTCCAGCAGGGCCTGGACAGTGATGCCCACTTTAACCAGCCCCTTCTCCTCCAGAATGTGATGGGGCAGACACAGCTTATCCTGCAGAGAGAGAGAGACAGACACACGGAACAGGACAAACATAAATAAATGAGTTGGGGAGGGGTTTGCAGGAAGAATGAGAGCAGAGTGGACAAAAACAAACACAGACTACATTTTAAAACTGACCACACGCAGTAAACAGTAAGATTCACTGTGTTTGTGTCTGTATTAAGGATGTAAACGTCACGACAGGTCAACCCAGGAAACGATTCAATGCATCACAGAATCTCCAGTTTTGATCCTTTTTATCGCTGCTGTCGGAACAAACGTGCATAAAATGTGTGGCTCCCAAGGTGGATTGATTTTTGTTTAAAGGACAAAATGGCTCTTCTTAACATTTGGGTTGCGACCCCTGATCTAGGATAATATGGCACTGGACTAGCAACAACTTAGCAACTACCTGGGAAACCATAACAACGGCCTTGCAACAACTGTCTATGGCTGTGTCTTCGCTGGGCATCAAACTCATGATGAGGCTAACTCTTAGGTGGTTGCGCCACTTCAGAATTACCTCTAAAAATAGACCCAATACCCAAATGTGAGTATTACTAATTACACAGTAGTGGAATACAGACAGTAACGACAACACGCTAAGCTCTTTGAAAGATTTCATTTGAAAATATCCTAAGAAGTTTAATTAAGGCCATACTTAGGGCTGAGTATTATTATAATCATAAAAAACTGGTTACAATATTCCAGAATCGATGCAGTTGAATCGTCACCTTCAGATCGATGTGTTTTTACACCCCTACTCTGGATGATTTCATGCTGACAGAAAAGACAGTTCCGTTCATTTCTCACAACCACACAGTCACCAGCCTCCACAGACACTGACCGCTGCTTCTCTCAGACCGGCACATGGTTAGAAACCACAACAATAAAACTCGCAGGTGAGAAAAACCCAAAACTGTACATTTATTACCGTTCATTTACAGCCTCATAGAAACCGCAAAGCCTTACAGAACATTATACAGTAAATCGCCCTCAGATCAAAAGCCCCTGACTGACCATCCAGGCTCTTCAGCTTCGGAGATACAGAGGCTTTTGTAAGCGGTTGTGCCTTTTCCCTTAAATTGAGAGCTATGGGGGTGAAAAAGGTGCACAAGTCATTATTTCTGAGCTATCGATGCTTCATCCAGGGAGTTTGGGGGGTTATTCTTTCAATTAATGCGCAACTATCAAAAACAGAATATACAATTTTGTGTCTGTAGGATGTTTATATTTAGTCTATATTTTACGTTTTGTGAAATGTATTCAGGAGAATAATAAACAGAATGAGTCTTGTGGCTGTCATGAAAGAACAGAAGCACATTTATCGTATATAGGTTGCATTTAAAATGAACAAACTTGCTTCAGTACCAAAAACCAGGTCAGGTGCTGCTTTGAAAAAGTACATTCATTTATTAAAAACTTTACATTAATAAGGACACTGGTGTTAGTGGTGACCATGATACCCTCTCACTGGCTTATTAAACCCCTTATTTTATTTAAGTCTTTATTTCATAGAGTGATATTAGCAAACTTCAGGTAAAGAAACAGTATCTGATGTCAGGTGGACCAGCTCAGCGGGGTTGACCACCGTAGTCACCACAACCCCACTTCAGCTACTGCGGTGGTTACATTTAAGGTATTATTTTTTTAACAAAAACAGGTAATAGGCAAGTCTAGGTGTATCTGACACTTTAATAAATATAGTGTGATTTAAGATAGCAACAATATTTGGTAGATTTCTTAATTGAAATGTGTATTTGTCCAGAATTATTTTATAGTAGTGCTAATCAGATATAATAATGCATTTGAAAAGTTTATAAAAAAAAAAGTTTAAAAAAGAGGGATTTTTTTTGTGATTTTTAATGGCTCATATATCAGAAATGTTTATTACTATAAGACTAATACTAATTTATAAAAAATTACTGCAATATGACTAATAAATATCATATCTTCAAATATCTGATGTGCTTCAATGTAGAGTTATAGAATCTCAAAGTTGTTCCAATTTTTTTTCAGGTCATATTTTTGTCCTTTCAGTAAACATGCTTTTGAAATGGTAAACATGGTAGCTTGAAACTTCTTAAACCAAAGAACAATCCCTGAAGATCCCATGTGTCTCGCATCAATAGTTCAAAAGTTTTGACTTATCAAACGTTTGTAGTTTTCCATAACGTTCAGTATAAAGCAAAAAATTAAGGCCATCTTTTAAAAGTGTGTAAATCTCTGAAACTAATGAAGATACAAGCCAGAAATTTTACATACTATCCTTTGGACACAATGACATTATTTCCTGAAACTATGAAACAAATCTGAGATGGTCAGTCAGAAAGGCCTTCACATTAATTGACCCTATAAAGCCTTAAGGAGCAGCACTAAACAGAAAACAGCCTGTCATCGCAACCGAAAAGAACCTGGTGTGGAGCAGCAAAGCAGTCATGGAGGAACCGAAGCGAGTTAAAAAAAAAAAGGAGAAAGAAAAAAAAAATTTACCTTTAGAGATTGATAATATGGATATTTGCCGTGTTCTATGAAATGAAAATAGTGTGAAATTAGACATTTTTATCACCCTCACATATTCGAAACAATGTCACCAAAAAAAGTGCAAGTTCTTGTGACTTTGCCCCGAAAACAAAGCGTAATCCACATCCAGAGCTGCTGCTATTTACACGCTTGCATGTGGTTGATTAGCCCTTCAGTGCAGTGCAGTCAAGTCTCAGTCTTGTTAAAACAGAATAAAACAGTCCCAGAAGCCACTTAGCGAACTAGAAGATCCTCATACGACGCTATGTTACGTAACACTGTTCATCTTCCAAACAGAATCAAATCTGACAGGTAAACGTGCTGAGGATGAATAAATAACCCACATGACTGTAAATGTGTTGTGTACAGTGTAGAAGGTGTGAGTTGCTATGCTTTGTTTTAGCCACTAGGGGGCTCTGATGTCTCAAGCTTGTTCACCAGAGTGGCATGTGATTTATTAGATGTTACTGTGCAGCGGCTAATCAGCTGTTAATCCTATTCTGCTCAACATTTATGTGAGAACTGTGAATAAACTTAGATATGTGAAGACTGGAATGTGTGATGTGTGTTATGAGCGGGCAAAAGTACAGTCGTATGCAAAAGTTTGGTCAAACTCTGCGTTTTGTTGATTGTCTAAGTGAAAATAAGATCCTCCACAGAAAACATACTGCACTTTTTAATGCATAGTTACTGTTTATTTGCTGAATTTAACATACTGGGTAAAAACAAAACATAAAATGTGGCCTGTGCAAAAGATATGGCACTTTTTATATTTTACTGTTTTTCTAACATGTTAAACTCAGCAAATAACTGAAGGTATTCATAGCAAAATGCATTACAGACTATTTTTGAAAATGTTCTATTTTTTTAATGATGTGTTGTTGGTATTGGGCTTCACACTTACAAGAAATATCAACTGCTATATTATGATTAATACCATCTTTAATAGAGAAATTATGTTTATATTAACATCAGCAGTTCAAAAAACTCGCTATGTTCAAAATTGTTATAAACAGATATGCAACATTTTGGAAATGAAACCCTTGAAACAAAAACTGCAGAAAAATGTCATATTTAAGTGTGTTCTATAGGAGCACTATGTAGGATTTGGGGATTTGGAGACCTCTCTGGTGGATATGTGTAATTGCACACGATGATGTGCAAGGGTGTGTCTTCTGAGGACGTGAGTGAATTATCTACTGTTGTCATCACATCTTCATGAGCATAACAATTTTGCATTTGAGACCGAAATGTTGAGTCTGACCTTCTTTTAGAGCCTGTCTGTGTGATGTTAATATGTAAAGACATGGTCCAAAAATCTTCCCACCAAATCTTTCGCAGTGTCTCTGACTTTAAATGATTATTTCAGGGCGACTCACACATCATATTTTAGTGTGTTCCTTCTTTTCCCTATGCTCAGTAATGCTACTTCTTTCAGTTTTAACAAAATATTATGCAGTACTGCTTTAACTTATTTTCAGCTCAAAGCAACAAAACAATGTAATTTGACCGGGGTATTAAAACTTCTGCATAGACTGTGTGTATGTGCCTATGGATGACAGAATATCCTTTAATCTGTTGACAGTTGTGGTTTTTACATCATGTATGGCCTTTTTCTTTAAATGCAAGCATTCCCTCCCTCTTCTAACGAGTCTTTTCCTGTCAACTAATCACTTGGAACACCAACTCAGTGTCAAATCTTAAGTGGTAAAGAGAAATTTTACTGAATTGTTCCAATTATTAAATGGCTAAAAGGTAAACAGAGTCATTCAGAGTGGTTTGGTGTGAAACGCTCTGTTCTAGAGAAACCTGCCGAGTCAGAATTGTTCACAGTGGTGGTGATAGGAACCAGACGTCCACCTCTAAAAGCTCCCTCATAGAAAGTTACTACATGAGACGATGACCAGGCCTGATGATCCAATGGCTTTATCCATTATCTCTGGTCAAGTTTTCAGGATTTTAGCTGTGAGCTGGATCCTTTGAATGTACTTTGAATTTGAAGCTATCAGAGAAGATGCCAAATCTATGATTTCCAAAGCCAAATATAAAATATCAGCCATCCAACTTAAAGAAAAACACTGTCAACTTCTGCGTATAAAGTCATCAGAGGTAAGATATAAATGGAGAGAAAAAACTTGTGCCTGCTGTGGCAGTACGCTTTAGCCTAGGATGCTCGACAGTTTCTAAACTTGCTACTTTCTTTTGTCTTTTTTATGTGCATTTCAGCTGTGTGACTGTAATTTGTCAGCTTCATTGGGGTAAATATTTAGCTTCTCTAAAGCAGATGCATGCTTTATTAGATAAACAGTGTTGCACTGGTTGTTGGGTTTACGTTAACCTGTGCACTCAGTAATGTGTAGGTAATCTTGCTATTGTTTTGTCTCAATTGGAAAAAATAGGCATTTATAGCGGTAGCCAGGTAGGGGCCCACCAAACATTTGTCCCCAGGGTCCAATAACTTGATTATGATGATCGAGGCCTGCTGGTGC